AATCACTGAAACATGAAAATATTATTAAGTTGTATAATTCATGGGTGGATGATCAGAAAAATACGATTAACATGATTACGGAGCTCTTCACATCTGGAAGCCTAAGGCAGTATGTTCTATTGATTCCTTCTCATTCTGTCTTTGTATCGTTTAACTGCATTATCTGAAATCAAACTAACTGCGCACGTTTTGGTTATTAGATATCGTAAGAAGCATAAAAATGTGGATACAAAGGCCATAAGGAACTGGGCAAGGCAGATTCTCCGAGGTTTAGCCTTTCTCCACAGTCATAGCCCCCCTATCATTCATAGAGACTTAAAATGTGACAATATTTTCATTAATGGAAATCATGGAGAAGTTAAAATCGGAGACCTTGGATTGGCAACTGTTATGCAGCAGCCTACTGCTCGCAGTGTGATTGGTAAGAAATCTATAACATCAGATGTTATCTCTTGGTTAAACCGTCTAAACAAGTACTGAAACTTTTTCTTTTCTCTACGTAAGGGACTCCCGAGTTTATGGCTCCAGAGCTCTATGAAGAGGAATATAATGAACTCGTTGACATATACTCCTTCGGAATGTGCATGTTAGAGATGATTACTTTTGAGTATCCATATAGTGAATGCAAAAGTCCTGCTCAAATATTTAAGAAGGTTACCTCTGTAAGTTGAGGAATCATCGGAATATCATCATTCCTTCTGCTGGCTGTTTAAAGTAGAATCACTTGGTTCCACAGGAATCTTATTTCTGGTATGTTCTTTTGCAGGGCATTAAACCTGCAGCCCTTGGGAAGGTGAATGACCCCCAAATCAAAGAGTTCATTGAAAAATGTCTGGTTCCAGCATCTGAGAGGGTATCAGCGAAAGAGTTGCTCAGAGATGCATTCCTTCAAGTTGACAATCCAAAGGAACCAATCCATGATCCCTTACGGTTGCCTAACCAGAGTCTAAAAGCAACAAATTTACCGAAGTCTGGGCCTTTATCCATGGACATAGATATTGACTACAAGCAGCTATCTATAACCACATGTACAGGAAGCAACAATGGGAGTCCACTGGTTCTGGAATTTCAAAGGACACATAAGAACAACGAGTTCAGGTTAAGTGGGATAAAAAATGACGACGATTCAGTATCATTGACCTTGCGTATAGCTGATGCATGTGGTAAGTATGCAAACTGGGAAATTGGATATACAATTATGTCTAGTATTGTTATTCCTGTCAGGAATGTAATAGCATGACTTTTCTGTATCTTACAGGTAAGGTGAGGAATATACATTTCTCTTTTACATTGCTAGTGATACTGCAGTGTCTGTGGCGAGCGAGATGGTTGAACAACTGGAATTAGCAGATCATGATGTGGCTTTCATTGCTGAGTTTATCGATTACTTGATAATGAAACTTCTACCTGGTTGGAAGCCCTCATCCGATTATCCATCAAGTGGACCAGCGAGTCTTTGTGGCGGATCCTTAGTCCGTAAAAATGGAAAACCATCATTGTCAAGCCTGTGGGGTTCAGTGCCATCTGGTGCTCCTGATGGTTTGATGGTAGAGCAAGGTGGCCGCTCCTGTGATAACCCTGATACCATCAATTTTAATGGTGGAATTACCTCTTATCCAAGCTTTGCTGATTTTGCCGATGAATCTGTTAATTGCAATACTTCTGAACTAGAGCCGAGGTATTCATATTTCGATGACAGCAAGTTACAGAGCGATTATGCTAGCAATGAAGGAGGAGGCTTCCCAGTGAATGGAATCATAAAGAAGTTGCAGTTTCAGTTGCATGGACACGATTCATCAAAAGATACGAGCTTGGCAAGCAGCTGTTATTCTCCATCTTTGGTAGATAATGATCTGGATGCCGATTCAAAGTTGGAACTCGAAATGATTGAGTCACAGTACCAGCGGTGGTTCCAGGAACTTTCAAGGATGAGGGAGAAAGCATTGGAAATGACCAGAAAGAGATGGTTAGAAAAGAAGAAAGTGGCTGTTGGCTAATTTAGAGCCCTACTGAACCCAATTTTTTTCCATAACTCGTTTCCCTTGTATATTGTTGACTGGTAACTCTATCTAAGCGTCGACGTGATGTTTAACCCTTGGATCGGATGCGGCTCACTTTTTTCAGCAGTCGCGATCATTCTCGGGACTAAATTTTATGCTGATATCCTGTTACTTTTGTTTGTTGAGTATGAATAGATTACCGGATTTGCTAATGCATCCTCAGCTTCTTTTTGCAGATCGATGATCACAGCTGATAACATAATGCTTCGGTTTTGGGCGCATTCTTGTAGTCGTCCAGGGTAAAAGATGGGCTGTATCATCTCTTTTTTAATCTTAACCTGCGAGCGCAAAACGAAAATCAGCTCTCACATTACGCATACCCTTCAAAACCTCGGCAAAAACTCCATTTCCTAAAGCCTCTAACCACAAATCTCCCCCGCTCTCTGCAATTATTTTCGATTTCGAGGTGTCATCACATTGTGTGTGCTTATAAACAACCACCAACAATTCACACTGGTTATTCAATGTGGATTTCAGAGGTTTTTAAAAAACTTTTTAAGTGACAGATTTCAAGGGATTGTATAATCCTTGCAACTTTTTAACGATTCTTATGGATTTTGTTTAAAGATTTGAAAGGATTCTTATGGACTTTGATTAATTATTTGAATAGATTTTGAGACTCTCTTCTCATTTAAAAATTATTCTTTAAATAAAAAATAAGTAAATTTTTTTTTTAGTACATCGATATTTTTACACTAAGGGGAGAGAGAGTTTGGTTAAATCACACAATGGGTAGCCTAATTTGGTATCAAATTCCCCATCCGCGAGATTCGAACCTAAAGCCTCTCACTTCCAAGTGAAGAAGAAGATTCAAAACAATTCTAAGGGTAGATAAAATGGTTGGGTTGAGGGCTTCTTGTGTATATTCAAGTCAACATAATGAACTGACATGTTTGGAATTGAGACCATGATATATCATATAATAATACCAAGTAAAAAGAAGAGAAGAGGACAATTGAGTAGTTAAGAAATTGTATAATGGTCAAATTGAATCGAATTCTATAAACCAAAAGAATAATTTGATTAAAAGAGAATAGAAAGCAGGCCAGGTGAGAGATCTCATTCAGGTCACCTTGGTGGCGTTGGGTGGGTGGGGGGCTGAGATGCCAGAAGGAAGAAAGGATGGATTTCTCAAAGAAAATTGAGAGTAATAAAGAAAGCTCGAGTTGCAGAGTAAAGAGAGAGAAAGAAAGTGAGGGGGTTGAAAAGAAATCCTACGGGTGGAGATAGGATTTTGTTATGCTTACCATCCATTCTCAAATCTTACAAAATCTCTCATTGAATGAAATTTATCAAAATCTATGAATATTTGAATACTTATAATGAAACAAATCAAAAGGGTACCCACTTTTCATCATAAATCCAAACAAAATAAAAATTGAGAGAAGGAAAGAAGCTCATTTACATAACTAGGAAGACCGAAGACCCACTGAATCAGATAGTGAGAGAACCCAATTTTAGGGCTCAAAACCCTAAGAAAATAAAAAAAAATTAAACTAAATATTACAAAATTAACATAGGAGAAACAATGAGATTAGGGTTTGGAGACGAACAGTTAAGGGAGAAGCTTAAAGAAACCACTTTGCAAGCGAGACGCTAGGGTTAAGGTTTAAAGGTGTTGTTCTGTAAGACAGAAAGAGTGGCAGAGTAAGGTAAATATGGAAGTGCATGAGAGCAATTTGGTACGAAGGCGCCTCCCCATTTTTTAAAAAATTGACTGACCCAATACCCGATCTCATGTGAATTAAATTTTTTAGCTACTAGGGCTAGTGCGTGGGCGTGCGTTCCGACTAAAATAAAAAATAATGTTAGAAATCTTACCGTTGGCCGTGTGCCCATTTTTGAGCTATTGGATTTCAATTTTTTTGAAATCCAACGGTCCAGATTAATTAATTTAATAAAAATTTATAAAAATTATAAAAGTTGTTTAAAAATACAGAAAAAATAAAACGAAATATTTTTTTTTATATAAATACCTATCCATCTTTCACAAAAATTGTACTTTCAGATAATGACACGTGATGTGACAAGATTGACTAAAAATCCTATCCAAAATTTAAAATTAAATTATTTTTTATTATTTTATAAAAAAAATTAATAGTATTTAAATACATATTGACTAGGTTATTCAGTTTAGAGGTGGAGATGCACTTAGGCAGTTACTATTCACTGCACTCAATTAGTATTCATTTGGGTGAATTGAATTGACTCTTGACTAGGGGTTTTTAGAGGTGGAGTTGCTCTTATACAATATCACTTTTCTTATACAATACTAGTATATGTCCACACACAAAGAGGGTATGAATTTTTTTTTATTATTTATTATTTTTAAAATTGAAAGAGAAAGGAAGAGAGTGAGAGAGAACGGTAGGTAAAGACTTGAATAAAAAATAAGCAAAATTTTGTTTTATGAAATTATATTACTTGCCCTTAACTTTTTGTTGTGATAGACGACTAAATGGTCTTTTTCACCCTCTTTTAGTTGATAATGAGAGTTTTATTAATATGTAGTTTAGATACTGAATAATTAAATAATAAACGGCCTATTTAGTCTCTAAATTATATTTGAATACAAATTAAGTTCCTAAAAAAATTGTCAATCCCTTCGTACTATAAGAATCAATGCTCTAATATCTAATTTTTCATTAATTGAAGTCACTTTAACAATCAATAACATTATTTTGTTGCCCAAAACCTAACATTGCATATACAGGGTTAACACCCTCATATATACAACGTTACCTTGGGCATAAAGGAACAAAGGCCTGGAGTACAGGTAAAAGAATTACACATATTTCAGCCTGGCCGCCCTTTTTTAACTTATGGCCTCATCAGATTTCTTTAGCTACCAAAATGTGGCGTGTCTCATGAGAATCGTGACTGCATCACTAAAAAATTAAAACCCCAAAACCCTACCTACCTATATATATTGTCTGGAGGAGAAAATTGAAATAGTCTTGCTTTTTGCTGTTTTTCTTTTGGTGGGTGGGCATTCAGGTAAGAAACAACAATGCTTGACCGGTATCATTATTTCTTCCAGATTCTTCATTTTAATTAAGGATGGATTGGGACGCAACAGATATTAAAAGCCTACTTAATTAACAATCCTGTCTTAATCATCGCATTTGTTTATCCAATATATCTTGTTTGGATTCCCTCCTCATTTGATAATTCTATATTATATATTTCATCTCAATAATTGATGTCTGCTTCAATGGTTTTGTAGTAGTTCAATTGGGTGATTGCTTGGAGAAGATGATCAGCTTTGGCTTGGTGCCGGTGGTTAATATCAAGCTTAATTAGCAGTTAATTGGTATGTGACTTTAATTTCTTCCTGTTTTTGTAATTTTCTTGCAGCAATTAAATTAAAGTGATATATATTGCTGTTAAGCAAATCCTCCAATCAATGGCTGATTTAGCTGGGCCAAGGCTGTATGGCTGCTACAAGTGCCAGAATCATGTTTGCTGTCATGATGATATTGTCTCTAAAGCTTTTCAGGTGATCCAAGCACATGTGATTTCTCCTCCATATCTCTATTTACTATTATGCAGTTTACAGCAATTGTTCTGGCAATTGGGTCATTGCATCAGATTTAATAGTGTGTCATTGCATTGAAAATCTGGTCTGGAGTGTTATATTTGATTATACAGAACATGAAGTTTCAGTTATGGAAATGTTTTTATTTGCCATAATAGTATACTATGTTATGTTATCCGACTATTAATTGATTAGACGGATTCAATAGTACATAATTGATATGTCATGTCTTCAGGCTACCAATGAGCAGATGCATTATTAGTTAAATGCCTTTCGTTGATTCGTGAATTCTTGTTTAAATATACAGTTCAAAGAGAGAAACTTATCTACAACAGAGAAGTCATTGTGACGGTATCTCAAATCAATCACGTATGTACTAGACTGTGGTAAAGTTAAAACGCATGACAGTACCCAAATGATGTATATACCACAATGATTTCCATATTGTAGGCAAGTCCTAATAGCCGGATAAGGCAACACAAATGATAAGAGTGGGTGGAGAAATGAGTCATGATTAGGTTAGGTCTGGAGTATAATTCTTCATGTTGTGAAAAAAATAGAAAAAGATAAAAACAATAGTGTGACAAGAAAGCATCATCTCATATAATTTAAACACTATATATGGAGTACTTTGCAAATATTTGAAGATCTTTGTGCCATATATGTATACATATATATGATATGCTTTGCTTTGTTAGGCAAGCCGTGGCAGGGCCTTTCTGTTCTCCCATGCAACGAACGTGGTCGTAGGGCCTAAAGAGGATCGGCATCTGATCACAGGTCTCCACACAGTTGCTGATGTACACTGCTGTGATTGTGGGGAGGTGTTAGGCTGGAAATATGTCAAGGCTTATGAGGAATTGCAGAAGTACAAAGAAGGAAAATTCGTTCTTGAAAAATTTAAGATTGTTAAGATCAATTGGTAGCATATGTACTCATCAGTTCGGGTTGTGGAATTTGTTGTGATTGATTGTTCATAAGTTTCTATTCGTCTTGTACAAAGAAACTCTTAATTTCCAATTCGGATATGGTGGTATCCTTTTGTGAATAATAATAATGTTGACCTTTATTCATGAACGAAAATTTTATTTGTCAGACGATTTGATATATAAGTCAATTTGTAATCATGTTGACTTTTTATTCAAATCTGGTGTCGCCAACCCTAGCTTCGACCATGGTTGGTTATACATTCTCCTTTTCCTCTCTATCTCCACTTCCTCTCTGTCTCCTCTTCCTTCTTTCGGTTGTGTTTTCCCATGCTCTCCATATCGATTTGTCCTTTTCTTCTTATTCCACTAGCGTCCCTCTTCCTTGTTCATCCATACTCTGATCTGCAATCATGCTTTACTGAGATAAACCGTAGAGCTTCGGTGCTTGCACAGATTTGATGTTCTGAACACCACCACCTTCTTTCTAATTGCCTTTGCTGGCAGTGTTGCTTGTGGGTTTCCACATGCCAAACCGACTATCGAGGTGATCAAGCTCGGGTCAGGTAATATTAATAGTGCTCAAACTCAGAAAAAGCTCATAACCGCAAGCTCAAGCTCGAATCAAATAATTGTTTCAAGTTCTAGTTGGGCTCGACTCTAACTTTCAAGTTCAAACTCGGCTTGGCTTGTAAAACTAAATTTGAACTTTTATATGGCTTTGCTCAACTCAGTTCTCTGAACAAGCTTGAACAGTTCGACTTAATTTTTATTAACACCTAAAATAATAAACTTCATTTTCAGAATTTAGCCCAATGATATTTTCTTTTTTTCTTTCAGTTTCGGATTCATCAAATCGGTCCTTTATCTATTGACTGACTCATCAATGCTGCCTCTACCATCCAATTTCGTTAAGAATTTCATTAATTGGCTGACTTGTCATGCATATGGGCCAACAAGCCAATAGTGTTGTGTCATGTGGGTGTATATAAAATATCCATTCCTTCAATAATTTTTTTTGAAGAAAGTACAATATTTATTGAACATTGAAATACGTACAAATCAAGGATATGATGCTTACAGGGGGCAATAAAAACCTTACCGGAGCTTTCAATAAAGACCTAAAATCACAGTGGTTAAAAGAATTATCAAAACAAATTCAAATAAAAGAAAAAAAAATCGGTTGATAAATGAATTTCAATTTGTTTACTACTACTTATCAAATCTTGCTCTATAATCATATAGAGAGCTTAGGCAAAAACACAAAATACATTTCATATAACTTCATTTAAAAATTCAGCCATGATCCTAATAAACTTGTTACTTAACCAAGTTAAAAACAACACTGCCATCAACTATAAAAACTATAAACTGATTTAAGATCAGTAAAGACTAATTTTTGATTATGTAATATCAGTTTCACAGTTTATGCACTTCTACAAGATCAATTTTAAATTTTTTTTGTACTTCTGTAAGATCAGTTTTAAAATTTTCTTGCACTTCTACAAGATCAGTTTCATAGTTCATGCACTTCTACAAGATCATTTTTAAAATTTATTGTACTTCAACAAGATCAGTTTCAAAATTTATGCACTTTTGCAAGATCAATTCCAAAACTCTAACAATTATGCAAGATTAGTTTAAAAATTCTTGCACTTCTACAAAATCAGTTTTAAAATTTTAGCAATTTTGCAAATTCAGTTTTAAAATTCAAGCAATTCTACGAAATCAATTTCAAAATTCTTGTACTTATTCAAGATAAGTTTCAAAATTTTAGCAATTCTGCAATATCAATTTCAAAATTCAGTAATTTTGTAAGATTAATTTTCAAAATTCATGCATTTTTGTAAGATTTAGTTTCAAATTTTCAACCCTTCTGCAAGATCAATTCAAAATTCATGCATCCAAATCATCAAAACCTCAAAATCAAATACGTGCACAAATACTAAAATCAAAAGGAAAAAAACACTCATAAATCTAGGAAAGAACACTCATAAATCTAGGGAACATAATAAAGAAGAAGATGAGAGAGAAGTATGAAAAGAGGAAGAGGGGAGAGATAGAAGTGAGAGGTAGGAGGGAGGAAGAGGGGAAAAAGAGAGAGAGAGAGAGAGAGAGAGAAGTGCCGAAGAAAAAAAGGAGAGAGATAGGTAAACACTAATCTTTCAAACATAGTGAGATATAATTGTAAATACAAAGACATTAGAAAAACAACCATAACATTACCTGCCACATGGATATGTTTTGTCCCTCTATGAAGTAAATCAAAAGCTTTATCTCTCCAAAATATAGTCTTGCAAGTTGGTTCTATGTATAATTTCTCATAAAATGGAAGAAATATAAGATTAATTACATAAAAATTAAACACTGTATTATCAACAAGAAGTAGAAAATTTTCTGATTTGAATTTTTGTGAAATCCCTTTTTTTCTTAGCAAACCTCCTCATGACACTCACCTTGGTGCTCTATTATCAGTGACCCTGTAACTTCGGGTGAAAGGGGTGTTCTCTTATCTTATGACAATATCATCACCTTGCCTCCTGCCCCACCTGCATCGACCTCGAGTCCCATCACCACCACCCACCATGACAAAATTCCACTCCTTTATCTCTCTCGATCAAAAGCCTAAGATTGCGAAAGGGCATGGGTACTGGCCTGGTAGGGCAATGGGGATTTAGATAGGGGAAGACCCATCGCTCTACGACAACGACATTCTCGAGGTTGGCTAAGTTGAGGTTGGTACTTAGGTTGATTTGGCAGTCAATTACCAGAAGAGAAGTGTTACAACGGTGTGAGACGTGGGACGTGGTAGGTGGTAGACTAGTAATGGTGGGACTTGAGGTTTACACTGACGGTGAGGTTTGTGGCTAAGATGGTTTATTTTGTTGAAGATGATGCATTTGGTTTTTACATTAAAGGGTTGTATTCAATTAAGAATTTAAAGGATTTTGAAGGGGTTATAAATTCTTTGAGTTTAATAGAGTTTCATAGACTCCATGTGAATTTTTAGTGAAATCATTCAAAAGCTTATGGAAAAAGACCTGATTTCCTAGAGCCTAAAATGCACTATAAAATCCCTCCAAATCAATTAATATCTTTTAAAATACTTTAAAATCAAATTTTAATTAAATACATATGGAGTTTTATAAACTACTTTAAAATCCGAAATGAATACAATCGGATGCTTAGCTACTAGTAGTATCCGAGCCAAATCTTAACCAAGTAGATCTTGCAACTTTCTTGTGTTCCCTATTTTGGCATTAGAATGTTTTGACCCTTGAATGGATTTCTTGATTCGACATTGAGCCGACCCCACTTTCCTCTCCCATGACAAAAACTTGTTTCCCAAGTTCGAACTCCCATTTTATCATTGATGACGACTCTATTCAACGCTAGCAACCGCATTTAATTCTTTCCGCCATTTTTTTCAATTTTCTTACATTCTAGCTGAAGGATAGACTTTACCTTTACTTAAGGAAGGACAACAATACTACTACACACTTCCGTGCTCGTAGGTTAACTTCCCTTATGCATCTAGTCACTTCACTAATGTGAATAGGTTAGGTTATAAAGGGGGGTGGGTTGGTTATATCTCTTATTTGCGTTCTTCTTCAAACCTTTTGGCAAGATAGTTGGAATTCACGCTGATATAGCGTGTGTGCCACCAGTGCTTTGTCTTTGAAAAGGCAGAATATTGTTATATAATTCGCTGTTTCAAAATATGTTGTCTGTCCTAACTAGATGTCGTGGGGCAATAAGGGGTACTTTATCTAAACTAGGCAGGATAATTTCGCTAACTTTCCTGCTCTGATAACAATGTTTCTATTCAACGGGAGTGGTTATTGGAAATAATTTATTGTGTCCATCGTTTGGGCTTATAATAAATTAAAAGTTGCTTTTGCTACTCAGCCTAGGACCTTTAGTATTGTTCAAGGACGTGTCGTAGGATAATGACTAGGAGGATTTAAAAGGCATTATGGCGTTAAGATTGCGAAGGTTTAGCTAAGACTTAGCTCAGGTCCCCACTACCACCCCCCATCCGAAGGAAAATGTCATTTGGTGCCAAAACTTATTTGTTTCTAAATGGATTTGTTTCAACAACATATCTTAAGCGTTTGGACATAGGATTTATGGCCTTTAGTTGCGCGTGCTCTACCTCTGTCTGTAGTAAGCGCTCTCAACTTCTGTTCATGGTGGGGGTGGATGGCCTTCATCATTTCTAGGGAGGCTAGGTCGGTCATGACTTCGTTGAATGACCTTTTAATTAGGTTGTAGTCGGCCCTTTGGAGTAGGGTGGGTTGTGCTATCTAAAAGCTTTCCATGCAAATAGTTCTCTTTGGAAGAATCGGGATGAGGCAGAGTCCGTTTGAAAAAAAAAAAAAAAAGTGCATGTACATTCGCAAGGCTTGGCTTACTGTAGAATTTTATAATCTACTTTGAAATCTTGATTGAATAGTGAATAACCTTGGATTTCTATGGATTCATATAAAATCTTGATTGAATGCATATGCATTCGTAAACTCTTTTAAAATCATTTAAATTCCTAATTGAATACCCTTCTAAGTTATTTCATCTTATTTTTCAATTATTATTTATTTTTGGTGAACCAATGGGGCACTATATTATTGACTTTGTGGCCCATATGCATGACAAGTCAGCTAACTAATGAAATTCTTAACAGAATTGGATTGTAGGGACAACATTAATGATTAAGTCAATAGATAAAAGATCAATTTGATGAGTTTAAAACTTAAATGACCAAATTGATGACTTTGCAATATATAAGACTTTATTTGTGATAAAAACCCTTAGAAAGAATGAAGCTTCTATAAAAAGGGTTTGAGCCAACCTTTTTTTAACACAAAACCACAGGACCAAAATACTCGTATACCAACCTTATAAACATTAAAAACACGGGCTACTAAGCCCAACCCGCAATAAAATACTTTTAGCCATAATTACCCGAACGGTATATGTGAGCAACTGGAAGGAAATAAAACACGTCCTTTCATATCTGTTCGGCAGCTTATTAGAAGCTCTTATCAGCCATTTCCAAGAGAGAAGGTAGGAGTCTGCAATTTATCAACTCATATGAGGAAGTGGAAAGTGTTGAAGGGACTGGCTTAAGCATCGGTCACAATACTTACGGTTTTACTTGCGCCGATGTAGGCTGTGGTGCCAAATGTGGTGCTTGATCATCAACTTCCACATGACACGCGACTGAAACTAAGCTTCCAAGAACCACACTTGCGGATGGTGAGATAGCAGCAAAATACAACTTCGAAACAAACAAATTGGCTGGGGAATAGGAAATTGTAAATTTCTACTTTCTACTTTTTATTACCTGATTTTGATTGAATTGTTTATTTCGAAGATATAAGTGGCCTTTGTACTACTGTTTTACGAGATATTTTTTAATGTACGGAACACGAAGTCATACGTCATGTGTTATTATACAAGTGAAGAATTTTTTTTTTTCAAGTATGACGCATGTATTTGTATTCCAGAAATATTGAAACTTTTTTTTTTTGTTTTTTTCAATGGTTTTTATTAAACAAAAATAGGTGGATACATGACATTATTTAACTGGAGAGGAACTCCAGCTCAGTTAATGTACCTGTGACCTAGAAAAATTTCTAGGAAAGTGGATGGACCACTTTCGAGATAAGTGGACCCGGTTTTACAAGAGGAAGATGGAGTCCGACCCTTGACGCATTTTAGCCACTGGACAATGTATTTTAAGCCCTTCATAGGTTTTTTTTTTAGTCTTGGATAAATTACTTTGTTTGGGCTTGTTTTATTGGGTTGGTTTGATAATATGTTTTGTCTTAACTATTAAATAAAGTTATTACATGATTTTTGGTTAAAATTCAAAGTTTTAAAGTATTTTTCATTAGTTTTCTTAGAAAAAGAATAATAAACATGCACAAATAAAATAGAGAATGAAATCCTTAGAATGGTAAACATGCAAAAAATATGTCAACTATAAGCATATTTTATGTGGCTCCAAATGATGTTCTTGTGGATCATTTCATACTCTATTGTTCGTCAATTAGCATTAGAAGTCCACAACGTTAGCAGGTACATGGTGCGTTTGTTACATAGGATTATCTCAGACTGGATTAGTTACAGGGATTAAGCTGGACTGGCTTAGACTAGACTAAACTTGACTAACTTAGTGAAACGTTTGATGCAGTGTCGAACTAAAAAACTGGATAAAATAACAAATTATATTATTATATTATTTAATATATATATATATATATATCTAATAATATTTTATTATTAATTCAACTTTTTTGGGAGTTTTAACGAAAAGCCCACGGTACTGTTCACTTTAACGAAAAACCATATTTTTACACTAAAAAGTCAATCCTGATACTATTCACTTTACCCTTTATTTTGTCCTTATCATTAAAACTCAAAGTTTTCAAGCCCTTTTCATTAGTTTTCCTCTTTTTTTTTTCCCTAAAAATTCGAACACACACTTCTACCTCTCTCTAGAGAGTTCTTTACTTTTGTTCCTCTTTGGTTCCGTCCCCAATACTTCCTTTCCTCCCATCTTTTTCCTACAAAAAAGCTTCAAAACCAAGTTTCCTGCAAAATCGTCCCCAAAGCTACCTTCTCCTCCCTCTCTGTCTCTTAATCTCTCTTCGTCCCCAACTCTCTCCCCTTCTCTATCCATTTCTCTTTGGAATTTTCTAGAGAAAAGGGAACCTTTATGGGAATTTTCGAAAATAAGGTAGAATTTTTCTATTGAGATTGTTGATGTTCATTTTTTTTTTTTCGGATTTTGGTGGTTGGATTTTGAGATTTAGGTTGTGAGTGGGTTTGGGTTTCAAATCTGGGCATAGGAGGGCAAATGGAGTTGCCCAGAAGCATGCTTGCAGACTTGCAACTTTCATACAACATGCAGACAGTTTTGAAAACGCGACTAGCAATCCCATAGTTTTTGAGGGGTTTCGCTAAGACCAGCTAATCCCATGGTTAGTCAAGGTGAGTGAAGATTAGTGCCATTAAAGTTAGTCCAACGGGTATTAAACACTGGGACTGGACTAACTCTTAGTCCAGTTCAATCCAGTAAGAGTTAGCGAGGGATAACAAACGCCCCCACAATGTTTTATCTTACGTTCACAATTAGAGATCAACTCTTGCCATTTCATTTTCTAAATCGACATGCTCATCTCTTTCAAAATTAGAGTTCGACTTTCGCACTCTTCTTCGATAAATAAATAAATAAATAAATAAATAAAACCTGCTCACGTCCCACCTTCCCACGTTTATCATTCTTACCGCCCTACAGCTGTGGGTTGTGCTAAATGCTTATTCTCTCAATTGGCTTACTAGTGGGGAAAAATAAATAAATAAATAAAATCGGACGGCAGATATTTTTTATTGACAGATCAAACAAAGTCGAAGAATCCAAACAAATCAAATTGATAAGAGAGAAAAGGAAGCTTCGTAGAAGCCAAGCTCACGGACAATTTAAGCTATTCTCTCATTTTTCAAGATTACGTTTTAGCCACATAGGTCCCCTCTTCCCCCCACAACAAAGAACCTTCCTAGAAAGTTCGAATAAAAAAAATATATTTAAACCTCATAAAATTAAAATTTACAAATAGAAATCAAGATCAGTGATCACGTTGTAGATCAAATTGTTGCACCACATCTGACTTTGGAATTTCAAACACTTTTAGGCCGTTCACATGTCTTGTTCCTTGATAAATCAACCGTCCATTTGATCTACTTTCAACATCAAGGTTGCAAACATTTTTGTGTGTGATCGGTACATTGTCATGTGGTGTTATTGTTTACTCATATTTTTAAATATTTTTTTCTTAACCTTGTGATGTTTTTCATTCTGTTTTACAAATTTACACCTTTAGGTCCGGTTTTATAAGAGTTAGGTTTCATGTCCCCCCTAGTTTCTTTGTATCTTTGTCATTTTTGTTTATAAACGGCTAAGGTTTATGCCTTCATTCTTTTTCATGTATTTTTTAATTTGTTTTTGTTGTATTATGAGATATTAGGTTTATGTTTTCCTAACTAAATATACATTTTTTTCGATATCAATAAAATTCTCTCATACCGTTAAGGTTTTCTGAAAAAACAAAACTCATATTTTTAAATATAACATATTTTCATTCATATTATAACGTATAAATTAGTAACATCACGTGACAGTGTTACAATTAGACGAAGACATTTTTTTTCCAATTTGGGTGGATAGGGCATCATCAAGGCAATAACTAACCAAATGGGTGGCTAAGATTGAGATAGAGTCGTAGCCTAGGCATCTTGCAAATTAATATCAATAAATTTCACACACCAATGATGCATTTTGTATTGATTGTAAACTCCCACAAAACAAAAGAGGCCTTAAGCCAAAACATTATATATATTCTTCCAATCCCCATAGCTCTGCAAAAGTCCTCTTGTTATGTGTTGTTGTATCGCATTTTCCACTACACATTAAAATACAAACCATGGAAAACAAGGGCACCACCTCAAGGAAGTCCACAGAACCAACTGAATACCAAGACTTGCTGCCAGTCATGGCGGAGAAGCTGGACGTGGAGACGTTTGTGTCCGAGTTATGTGGAGGTTTCCGGCTTCTGGCGGACCCCGAACGGGGGCTGATCACGTCGGAGAGCCTGAAGAAGAATTCAGCGCTTCTCGGGATGGAGGGGATGAGCAAGGAGGATGCTGAAGGAATGGTTAGGGAAGGAGATCTTGATGGAGATGGTGCACTGGGTGAGACTGAGTTTTGTATACTGATGGTGAGGCTTAGTCCTGGGATTATGGAAGATGCTGAGACATGGCTTGAGAAAGCACTTGATCAAGAACTCAACAAGTCTTCTGATCATCTTTGATGTTGTAGAATTCCAGTGCTTTTTATATCTCAATTGCAGAATGACATGTTTTTCCAATATATGTCCTGGATATTTGATCACTTATGTCGATTGGTGTATTGTTTAAATTTAATTTCGATCCGTTAAACGATTGGAAATTAATGTCTCATCATTTTAGCTAATTTCTGTTATTTATTTATTTTTTATTTTTTTATGAAACTTGGCAAGGCTGCAGGGCACTGTTAATAATGTTTTATTAAAATTGTTAGATTGGATTACATAGTGTAATTAAGAGGACAAGATCATGATTAAGGGATAGTTGTCCCATTTGCCATCTCATAATTTATAATCTAATGAGACCAATGGACCGGTCATTGCAACTTGGGATGCTTGGCTGGATCACAAGGAGCAAACAGTGACAAAATAATTTCTTATACTTGTCTTGATGCTTATGAATCGATGTATTTGTTCTTATGTAAAATTAATAGATCCGAGTGGTTACGAGCACTTGTTCATGCACATTAAGTTATGTATTCGATTTTCACATACTCTGATATTCATTTGTCTGTTACAATTTATATACAGTTTATTATCGCTTTCGTTTGTCCAGCGTACGAATCTCTTGAGTGCAAAAGGCGCAGGGTTGGCATAGGGGTCCAGAGGGAAAAGCCGAAGTTATGACTTGTGTGGCATTTGCGCGCGATTCTTTTGTGTATGCAGAGACATCACGTGGCAAATATCTATTGAACTGTTGGTATAACACATGACAAGCATTTGCTGGAACTAGAGACGCCATCGGGGCTACATATTAGCTGCAAAAGAGAATCACTCCATTTGCACATGGTGGAAGAAGTGCTCAGAATGCAACGAAGCTTCCTACCAGTTACTGAGTCACGTCCATCAAATATCTGATTTGGTACAGACAACCTAGTTCAACTTTCCAAAACTGAACTAGATATTGCCCAAATCCAAACATTTCTCCATACGAGGGGATAAATTACAGATGCGAGATGAGTCAAGACAATGTGTTCGAGCAGAAATCTAACCAAATTCTTATTATTTCAACCCTAGAGATCAACTTGAACTTCATAATAACATGAGCTTGAACGAAGTACTATCGTTTCATCCTCTACAGATGTACCTAAAAGCTATATAGCGAAACTAATGATAAGCCCACTACTGCATCAGATGACTTCAAGTTCATCTTTGGATAGGCGAACAACTGCAAACAGTAAATGATAAATCACAAACTGAAATGGTATAACATCAACCTCACAAGCAATTGAAATCTCTGCATATAGAGAATGAACAGCGTGGTATGAAAGCATACCTGCAGTATCTGCCGTATTCAGTACTCGCATTCCTTCCATGTTCAGGACTCCTGCGCCTGTCATACACTGGACCGTTGTACCTGTCATAAACTGGGCTGCGAGGATGGCCATAATCAGGACTTGGACGCCTGCGATAACCATGACTTGGTGATTTCCAATAAGGACTATCACCATGTATACCATAGCTGCCCCCTCTAGGAGGGCTATCACAGTAGCGATCACCTCTCTCGACATCATCTCTCTCACTATCGTCTCTCAGAGCGTACTCCACACCGACAACCCTGTCTAGTATCTTGCTGCAAAAATGATATAATTTTGCCTCAGTTTCTCAGCGTTCTAGTCAAATGAGTTGAGTAAGAAAACAAACATATTACTAACCTCAAGTTTGTAGCCTGAAGAGCTTCAGTAGCTTCTTCCTGTGTGTCAAACTGCACAAATGCAAAGTTCCAACGAATTCTGACATGAAGCACCTTCCCATAAGGCTCAAAGTGCCTTTCAATATCACGAACTTTGGTGTAGGACGGGATCACAGATGATAACAAACAAACTTTTAGTCGGGCTCTGGTTTGCCAGTGATTTAGACCCATCATGATGGCGACCACGTTCACCCTGATAAATTAAATTGTTAATACGTTATAGGTTAAGATCTTAAGACCCGATACATATACTACCAAAAAATACACTGTATGACTTGTGAGTTGATATAGAAAAAAATACAATGAGAGAGATTATAAAAAATAAAAGATAATCGTACCTTAGCCCATTCCACAGATAGCCTGCACCTGTCATATCCAAGTGGCCTATTATCGAGGTGAAAGATAGCTTCTTCAGCATCCTGTTCATCCTCAAATTAGACAAAAGCAAAACCTGAAACAGAGGAAAAAATCAGACGCAGAAAAGAACAAAGGAAGCATCAGCATATAACTCACTCATAAGCGAGTACATCAACCTCATATATCTTTACCCTGGCACAAACTAAAGTAAATACAACACCTCCATTTACGCGAGGGACTTGACGGATATAAGGTGGTAGAGGCGTTGCTTGAAGAACTAAATCATGATGGTAGCATACTAAAGGTTTTAATCCAAAGTTTCAGGTCTGAATCATTGCTAAGAATGCTTCGCCATTCAGAGAGCACAAATTCCGTAATGGAAGGCATGGCACGACAGAATCAAAGATCCCCATTATCAGTGATTGAAGGCATGGCCAGATTTCATTAATCCCCTATGAATAGTGGTGGACTTGTGGTAGGCATGGCAAAAGAAATGATCCCACTCGGACAATTCTTGTGAAATGGCAACGTTATGCGACGAAGTGGGTGAGTGACGGATGATCGAGTGAAGAAAACGCAGAATGTTGCTATCTGTGAATGGAGTGTAGAGAAGCAGGCAACCAGGACGGTTTCCTCAATTGAAATCTGGAAGTGATGTTGGCAAGAAGCACAGTTCATTTTCCTTTAGTATACAAGTTCCTGCGCCAAAAGCAACACTTCAAAACCTGGTCCAAGAAATTGCAAACTCGCGGCTGCCACTTCCTTTCCTCCAGGAAAAGAAGCACTGGATATCCAAACTACAAAAGTAGCCATACATCCATAACCAACAAGCTCAAGTTTTACACCAAACTCTACTCTTCTGTTTATCAGAACAAATGATTAGATACAACCATGCCAGGCAAACGGAGCGGCCGGTCCCGAATCAAACAGACACACCTGAACGTTCTCTGAATCGATGAATCATAGGAAGAAACAAAAAGGGTAAATGCAGATAAAATAAAAATCAAACACACCCGTAAAACCACAACAGGAGCAATTCATTACATGAAATCTTGAATGATCCATAGCCAGCAGACACACAATCCCATAGGACAAAATCACTAACTCGACAAATCAAACCCAACAAAAAGATATTGAATCTTTAACATAAATCATCAAATTCTACCCTATAAACAAGTCAAAACAAGTCAATGGTGGCGTACCAGACTTCATATCGACACGCTCGACCCTCCCGTATTTAGAGAACAACCGGTCCAGCTCCGATTGCCGAGTTTGCCGACGAAAACTGGCCTCATTGTTGCCATTTTCGTGCAAATTGCACCGAAACAAACAGTCCAAAAAATCCCCAATTGATACAGGAATAGTCAGAAGATAGAGAGGGTAAGGTTGGGCTTTCATTTTCAAACGAATCCCATCTAACCGAGGACCGTTTAATCGCATATACCGTCCGATTGTCCGACTTTTCGTGCTAAGTGAATTGGGTTGCTGACTAATCACTGGGCTACTCAACTTTTATTTTGGTGGCCTGCTGACTGCTGAGGCTTCATTTGGGCTACTAGCCTACTACTATCAAATAAATAATGTTATTAGGAGTTTTCTTCTCTCGGTCACTTTGTGATGAAGAATTTATGATACCCACCGTTAGATTATATAGTGGTTGGAATTATAACATCAAAACACATTAATTTATTGTCCACTTTTGATATAAAATTTAAGGGGGATAGGAACATCTCTGAATGAAATGTTAAAAGGTCCTCATCAATACTAACAGTAAAAAAAAAACAACATTAGTGTTTTCTAATCGAAATACCAATTTTTATGTGGCAATGACGTGGGTTGACAGCAAAGGTGGTTGGGATTATAACATTAAAAATACATTAATTTATCGTCCCTTTTGATATCAAATATAAGGATGGATAATATTACATTTCCTGGTTACACTGATGATCAATAGAATATTTAAGATGTTATTAAGCTTTTAATAGTGGCTTAGGTGAATTTGATTTTTATATACACAAAAAGTTCGTATACAAGATGTAGGCTATTTGATTTTGATTTGTAATACCATAGTTGTTGTGGTGTGAGTTTAATAAATATATATATTTTTTTTTGTTCAAATTGTTATTATTCAATTGATGGATACAAGTTGAGAATACAATATAAATATAATTGCAAGAGTAGTTTGAACTTAAAAAAAAAAGTTTCAAAATCAAATGTACCGATGAACTTTGTCTTCGTCGCTTCGATATATATTGCCAAAATTTAGCCACCAAATCAACAAATCATGCAACTCTAGTCCTACTCGCTGTTTGGGATGTAGTTCAAGATATCCCATGCATACATATATACATACATATATACATATATACATATATATATATATATATGAAAACTAATTAACTCCTAAGACTAACTCTAACCCATGGCCTAAAACCTATAATTTCCCTTCTATTTCCCCTAATCCATTCCAACCCTAGTTCTAATTGAAGTTAGAACCTAAAACTTGAAAAAATGCCAGATTCTGGCCAGTATTGAACCCAAAAAATGGTGTGGGCCCCACTAGCGAGAGTGAAACTTAGTGCTTGAACGCCAGACGAGGGGTTGCAACATACGCACGAGAGCGATGCGCCAAACGGACATACCGGCATTGTGACATCCCACATCGCCCAGGGGAGTGATCCTTAAATGTATATTTCCATCCCTACCTAGCACGAGGCCTTTTGGGAGCTCACTGGCTTCGGGTTCCGTAGGAACTTCGACGTTAAGCGAGATCGAATATAATCAAATCTAACGGTAAAAAAAAAGATCTAACGGTCCAAATTTAAATCCAATGGCTAAAACAATTAAAAAAAATTATTTAACTCAAAATTCACCCAAAAACTCTATAAATATCTATGTATTTGTTCAAACATCCACACGAAACTCTATCATGTGTTTTGTATGTGATTCATATGTATAATGTGTGTCTTGTGTGTATCATGTATTTTGTGTTTATACATCTCTATCAAGATTTTCATATTCTTCCATAGTGTTTCATGAGTTTTATGTATCGATTTAGTGATTTTTGAATATTTATCGGAATTTAAATACTTTTAGGTTAAAATGTTCATAAAATTAATTTAGGGTAGTCTACATAATTTTTTTTTAAAAAAATAGCCTAAATTCATTCTTTAATAATATGAGGCTAAAATGTTATGCCAAAAGGGTTGAAACAAAAATTGTTTATAAGTTAAAACCTAAATTTTCCGGGCTAAAGATGTTTGGTTTCAAGCCAAGGGTTGACGATGATCTAAGTTGTATTTGTGACATATTTACTTCAAGACTCTTGGTTCTAGTCGCATCTTGTGGTGGCCGTATTGGAGTTTAAAATCTTTTGCATTCGGTGCGAATCATCTCTAGATCAAGAAATTAATGATCACCAGAGAATATATACCCATCTGACAACTCTTGTACTTAGTTGTTCTTTTTAACAATAAAAGATTGAGCACAATTTCCTTAATTATTTTAAACCTTCAAATCAACTCAGCTCTAAAAAATAATTGAAATGGTTACCAGAATGACTGATAGATAGGTACTGAAACTTCGAAGGATACTTTGGCGATTCCAACAATTAACAAAACCTCACCATAAAAGACAGATGTGCTAACCCTAAGCACCCCAAAAGAGAAACAAAACAATATTGTGATCGTGGAAGCAGCCACACCAATGCATGCATGCACCTACCAACAAATGACTAACAAAACAAGTTCATGTATATTAGCTTGCTTGGGCAACACACTTCCTTATGTTTACTACTCAAGGCAAAATGTCTTAATCTTGCTTAAAACCAAATTAAAATAAAATAAAAATAATTATGATGATAAATTGACTAACAGAGGTAGTGGATGAAGCAGGTGAAGGGAGGAAGTTTCCAGGAAGAACTTTTGTTTGAATCAATGGGTTTACTTTCCTTTGCTTTCCACAACACAAACATTAAACAATTGGAAACGATATGATTAAATATAAAAGGCAGTTGCAGAACAAGCAAAGCAAATGCGATCATTGATTTGTACATCGCATGGTCTTCTTTAACTCTTTACCAGCCTAGCACCCCTGTCCCCATAACACACCAGACACCTTCGAAATTCTCTTCTTTTTTTACAACTTGTCCCTTTTTTTCTTTTTAATTAGTGGGCACCAATGAAACTTGAACAACATTTGAATGTAGTCATTGAATATCATATGTTTCTACCACCTCTAACTATAAATCCGTACATGTTTTGTACGTATATAAGTTAGTGTTTTTGGTCAAAATGGTTACTGAGATTGACATAATTTTTCACATTGGTTCTTGATACTGAAAATCGATAGACGGATCCAGTTGGAGAAACGGTATTGCATATGACTAGTCTAACAAAAATAATGACAGATTCAATTGGAGATAGTTTTTTTAACATTCTGCCTTCAACTTAACTTTATGAACTATCTTGACAATAAATCGTTTCAGTTATCAAGAGTTTCAATTGCCTCGTAAACGATTGGATCACAAAAATTGCAAACAGGAAATAAAACATAATCCCATAAAAAGGGACACCGTTCATCAAGATTAGTTAAGAGATTAACTAAAAACAAAACTATCCTGCTTTGAATTAACAGTTGAACTTTGTTTGTTTCTTGATTTTTTTTTTTTTTTTTTTCTTCCTTTAGAAAACACAAAAGCAAAAAGAAATGTAAGGACATATTCTTCTACGGCTGTACGCGTACGGCAAACAAAGTTAGCCACAAGTCACAAATCACCAATAAAATATGAGGGCAAAAAAGTCAAACTAAGTGGGTCCCAGGCGTAAATAGTCCCAACCCACAAGGGTATAATCGTAAACAACGGTTCATATTCGGGAGCACTACCTCTCCTGTTCCGAAAATTCAGAAAACTTAACAGTTAAACTGACCAAAGACCAACTTGAGCGAAAGCAAAAGATTCCAAAATTCTTTCCAAAAAGGCAGAGAGAGACCAGACCAGTCCACTTATCCCAAAATTCAAAAGACCATTGAATCTCCCTTGGTTTGTTTGACAAGTTTAATTTAGTTTTCTGTTGTGCACTTGGGGCCTTGCATTGCTTTGTGCCCAAGTCAGAAGCCAGAAGCCAGAAGCCAGAAGCAGCCGACAGCTTTTGGTGTTTTCATGTCTTCTACATGTTCTTCTTTAAAGGGTCAGTTCTTTTTTACTTCAATTATGCTCCATTCAGTTCAAATTTTACTTCTTTTTGTTGGTTTTTTTTTCATTCTATACAAGTAAAATTGAACTCGGACCTCGGATGCAAGGGTGAATGCTCTTAACTAAGGTAGCTATAGCTTTTAAGTCTGTTGCAGTTTTTTTAAATTCGAGTACGCTCCAGAGTTCAAATAATTCATCTTTTTGTTGTTTTGTGTTGTGGGTTTTGGAGATAATTGGCAGATGTTCTGTGGTTTATAAGTTTGTAACTGCTTTTTTCTTGTGTTTTTTGGTTATCTTTTTGTTTTTATCTCTCTCTCTCTCTCTCTCTCTAAACTTCTCTCTCTCTAAACTGCTACTTTGAGTCATTTCTACCCTTCATTTGAAGAATTAGTAAAATAGAAAGACATATTTGGGCTTGTAGCAGAGAAAAAGAGTGTACAAGTTCTCAATTCCTTCTCAAAGTTCAATTTTCTTGGTAACTTCATTTTTCAAAATCTGATTCATGACATCATATATGTTTGAATTTTGAATTGATGGCCTGTTGAAATTTACCGTTTTTCTTTTTCTGGTAAAAATTTCTTACATGTTTTCGAATTGCTCTGCAGGTGTCTGACATGGGTTTAGGAGACTTTTAACCAAGATTTTTCGTCTGGAGGTGAAATTCGAGCTCCGAAATTGAAGCATCAATGGAAGAAAAGCCGTTCCCGGCATGGTCATGGTCAATTGAGCAGTGCTTGAAGGAGTTACATGTGAAGCTAGATAAGGGTCTGAGCACTTATGAGGTTGAGAAGCGGCGCGAAAGGCATGGCTGGAATGAGCTTGCCAAAGAGAAGGGGAAGCCGTTATGGCGGCTTGTACTCGAGCAGTTCGACGACACATTAGTGAAAATACTTCTGGTTGCGGCCTTCATATCTTTTGTTTTGGCTTTCATGGGTGGAGGTGAGTCAGGGGACTCCGGGTTCGAAGCCTATGTGGAACCGTTTGTGATAGTTTTAATTCTAGTCCTCAATGCCATTGTTGGAGTTTGGCAAGAGAGTAATGCTGAAAAAGCGCTCGAAGCGCTTAAGCAGATGCAGAGCGTGTCCGCTAAGGTTTTGAGAGACGGGTATTTGGTGCCGGATTTACCTGCAAGGGAACTTGTTCCGGGTGACATTGTTGAGTTGCGCGTTGGAGACAAAGTCCCTGCTGATATGAGAGTGGTGGTTTTAAAGACTTCGACTTTGAGAGTTGAGCAGAGTTCATTGACTGGAGAGGCCATGCCGGTGTTGAAAAACACTGATCCGATATCCATGGATGACTGTGACTTGCAGGCTAAAGAGAATATGGTTTTTTCGGGCACAACAGTCGTCAATGGAAGCTGTCTTTGTGTTGTGATTAGCACTGGCATGAACACTGAGATTGGGAAAATCCAGAAGCAAATACATGAGGCTTCTTTGGAAGAAGATGACACCCCTTTGAAGAAGAAGCTGGATGAATTTGGAAGCCGGTTCACGACTGCAATTGGGTTTGTTTGCCTCATTGTTTGGGTTATGAACTACAAAAACTTCCTATCTTGGGATCTCGTCGATGGATGGCCAACGAATGTTAGGTTTTCGTTCGAGAGATGCACGTACTATTTCAAGATCGCTGTTGCACTTGCTGTGGCTGCAATCCCAGAAGGTCTTCCTGCTGTTATCACAACTTGCTTAGCTCTTGGGACAAGGAAAATGGCACAAAAGAATGCGATTGTGAGGAAGCTTCCGAGCGTAGAAACCTTAGGATGCACAACTGTGATTTGTTCGGACAAAACGGGGACCTTGACAACAAACCAGATGTCTGTGACAGAGTTCTTCACTTTGGGTGGAAAAACCACTGCTTCGCGAACAATTCGTGTTGAAGGCACAACTTATGATCCCAAGGATGGCGGAATTGTTGATTGGAGTTGCTTTAACATGGATGTTAACATGCAGGCCATGGCAGAAATATGTGCTGTTTGCAATGATGCTGGCATTTATTTTGATGGCCAGCTCTTCAGGTCTACAGGTTTGCCTACTGAGGCAGCTCTCAAGGTTTTGGTCGAAAAGATGGGAGTTCCAGACGCCAAAGCGAGGAACAAAATTCGTGACATGCAGCTCGCTGCAAGCTACTTAATTGACAGCACGGCAGCGAAATTAGGTTAGCAGAAAGCCATATATTCTTATGTTCTTCCTATGATCTTAGCTGCTGTCAATGGATTAGGTTTTTAACTGTCAATTTTTCTACAGGGTGTTGCGAGTGGTGGACAAAAAGATCGAAAAGGGTTGCCACGCTAGAATTTGATCGTGTCCGAAAGTCTATGAGTGTTATTGTCCGGGAGCCAACTGGGCGTAATCGACTTCTTGTCAAGGTACATGTCATTGCTGTCTGCAACTTGATTTGAGTTTGCTGTTGCAGCATGTTTTCATGCTTGATGTATCTGGTGCGATTGGCAGGGTGCCGTTGAGAGCTTACTGGAGCGCACATTCCATGTGCAACTTGCTGATGGATCCCTCGTTCCAATCGACGAAACCTGTAAACAGCTATTGCTCTCGAGACTCCAAGAGATGAGCTCGAAGGGATTGCGGTGCTTGGGATTTGCATACAAGGAGGAGTTGGGAGAGTTCTCAGATTATTCTTCCGCAAGTCATCCTGCTCACAAGAAGTTGTTTGATCCGGCCTGCTACTCCTCCATCGAAAGTGACTTAATTTTTGTAGGCATTGTTGGGTTAAGAGTACGTATACCGCACAAACCTTTCGCTGATTGATTTCTAAAGTTGAAATTTTCTAAGATTTCCATTTGTAACTGTGTTTGTACAGGACCCGCCTCGCGATGAAGTTGGCAAAGCGATCGAAGATTGTAGAGAAGCTGGAATTAAAGTTATGGTGATAACTGGAGATAATAAGTCCACGGCTGAGGCAATCTGTCAAGAAATCAGATTGTTCTCTAAAGACGAGGATCTGAAAGGGAGAAGCTTTACAGGAAAAGATTTCATGGTTCTTCCGAAATCACAACAAATGGAAGTTTTATCGAAACCAGGAGGGAAGGTTTTCTCTCGTGCCGAGCCTAGGCATAAGCAAGAAATAGTAAGGATGCTGAAAGAGATGGGGGAGATTGTTGCAATGACCGGAGATGGAGTGAACGATGCACCAGCACTCAAACTCGCTGACATTGGAATCGCCATGGGAATTACGGGGACTGAGGTAACAGAGACTCTCTCTTAACCAACTGCCGCTTATACCTCTTGCTAACTTAAAGGCCTAAGCTTTCATGTTTTATAACTCAGGTGGCGAAAGAAGCTTCGGATATGGTTTTGGCAGATGATAATTTCAGTACTATTGTTTCCGCTGTTGCAGAAGGCCGGGCCATTTACACTAATATGAAAGCTTTCATCAGGTACATCTCCTTGTTCAAAATCCTTCCTCCCACGTTTACCGTTTTCTTCCCTTGAGTAAGCACTTTATCAATATGTCAATTTGCAGGTACATGATATCTTCAAACGTCGGAGAAGTTATATCCATATTCTTGACCGCTGCGTTGGGAATACCAGAATGTATGATACCTGTGCAGCTTCTGTGGGTAAATCTGGTTACCGATGGACCGCCAGCAACAGCTCTCGGTTTTAACCCAGCTGACATTCATATTATGAAGAAACCACCTCGGAAAAGCAATGATCCTCTTATGAGTTCTTGGGTTCTCTTCCGTTACTTGGTAAGTATGAACGGAATGGTAATCTGTCTTACTTCAAATTCGAACTTCAACATGCCACTCATATGCTTAAGTACTAACCTGTTCAAAAAATGCAGGTAATTGGATCCTACGTAGGCATCGCAACCGTTGGCATCTTTGTCTTGTGGTATACTCAGGCTTCCTTCATGGGCATCACTCTTGTGAGTGACGGACACACACTCGTTGAAGTGTCTCAACTTCGCAACTGGGGCGACTGCCCCTCATGGTCAAACTTCACAGCGGCTCCATTCACGGTTAGTGGGGGTCGGACAATCACTTTTTCCGACCCCTGTGACTATTTCTCTGTTGGGAAAGTGAAGGCAATGACTCTGTCCCTCTCTGTACTGGTGGCCATTGAGATGTTCAATTCCCTCAATGCTCTCTCTGAAGACATCAGCTTGGTGAAAATGCCACCTTGGAGGAACCCTTGGCTTCTGGTTGCCATGTCGGTCTCATTTGGGCTTCACTGCCTCATCCTCTACATCCCGTTTCTGGCAGATGTCTTCGGTGTTGTTCCGTTGAGCCTGAATGAGTGGCTTCTCGTAATTTTGATCTCCGCGCCAGTGATACTTATCGACGAGGTTCTTAAATTAGTAGGGAGGAGGAGATGGAGAGCAAAGAAGGAGAAGACAGCATGATAGAACGAGTCAATTCACTGTTGATTAGAATTCTCTGATGATTATATTTGTGTACCTAAGGTTTGTTTTATGTCAAACTAAAGGCATTAATCACCATTTATTCATTAATCAAATTAGAAATTAGAAATCAAATTCGAAAAAACGAAAACAGAAATGAAACAAGAACTTAAATGGATTCAAAGGGCACAATTTACTCGAAAATTTTACTGCAAATTTTTTTAACATTTCCTATGTATACACAAGAAAGAATCCACATCCTATAGTAGAAAAAAGAATTCAATTTTTTGTCCAAAAAAATGACCTCAGCTTCCCTTACCAGGCAACCGGTGGTGCCTTGCAATGATCTCTCTTCTCCCTACGCCAACATACAAAGCAAGCTTCAAATACACAAGCGGAAACCAACTTCCGGCAGTACCTTATGTATGACAGAAACGAACTTCCTACTGCTCCAACAGCTTAGTTTCTATGCAAGAGCAGCTGAATTTTAATTGTCATTTCGCATCTTGAGACTGCAACCCCACGTCAAGACAAATTAAATTGCATCCCTCCGATCACACGTCACTGAAAGTTAGATAATGGCATACTGACCAGAGAGCCATGCTCTGCACTCTAATATGAAGGGCCCCATGTCTAGCTATGCATGGCCAGCCCCGTGTTTTTAGTAGTCATTGTGAAGTTGAAGCATAAGGGTGAGTTAATGCTTGATCTTCAAATCAATGACACGTAGCTGAAACCACGAAGCTCCTTCAGAAATAAGAAGACTGATCATGAAGCACGTTCAGGTGAGCAAGTATTCTGGCTGCCATAGATTTCACACTACCACTTCCACGCTGAGTTAAGTCGACTAAAGGCATCTGAGCTGAGCCTCCAAACTTCTGTTTAAACTCCAGCAACCGGAACATTCTTTCTAGAGCATATAAGGCTTTCTCTTGCAATCTAGGGTTTGGGTGAACAAGAAATTTTATTATAGGTGGGATGGCATTTGCATCTGTAAGCACCTTACTACCCATCTGCAGTCTCTCACCTTCGATTAAAGTTAATAGTGCATCTAAAGAAGCCTCACAAGCTCCGGGATCAGGTTCCCCAAGAATCCTAACCAGTGGCCCCACTGCACCAGCCTCCACAAGGCAAAATGATGAAACAATGCCACAGATTCCTCCATGAACAGGGCATCCAGTTTCTGGTGGGGCCGAGAAGCAGCAGAATCCTTTGCGGTTAGGTAAAGACCGGCTCAAACGTGGTGAACTCTTTGAAAATCGAGAAAGAGATATGGCTGCACGTTCCTTTGTCAATGAAGTTCCAGACTCCAGCAAATGTACGAACAACGGTATAATGCCAGTTTCAGCTGCACTCTTTTGCCATTCCAAGTTTGTTGGAGCAGTGAACCGACAAATGGCTCCAACAGCATTCTCTGTCAACTGATTTCTATGGGGACCATTCTCCTTGCTATTCTGGAGAAAACTGAGTATGACAGGTAGTGCCCCAGCATCCATAAGCCACTGTGTGATCTCGGTGTTTTCGGGAAGGTTAGAGATAATGCCCATTGCATAAGCGACCTCCTCTTCGTCATCAGAAGTTTTGATGATCTTGATTATAGTCTCAATGCACTTCTGATTCACATGCTCCAGGATGGTGGTGACTTCACTGTTGCCTTCTACTAAGCAAGAGAACAGCTTTACAGCACTTGCTCGTAGGTTTAGGTCATCATGCTCGCACAACTGAACCAATACTTGTACAGCTGAGGACTGTAAAGGTAACCACATCAGTGAAAAGCTTATATAACGCTTGTGAAGCAGAAGCTGTGTAAATCAAGTTAGCATCTGCTAAAGATTATTATGTCTGGTTATGAGATAAATTGTGGAAACGAAACTTGGAATTAAAACTCTGAAATTCAAGGAAGGACACATCTGACTAAACATTTCCTAACTTCACATTTCAATAACCAGAAAAACATGGTATAGCCATAAAGGAGGCGATGACTAAAAATATATCGATAAATTATAAAAACAAAACCTTCTCTTAACAAAGCTTCAATTAACTTCTGTTTCTTTATATCTATATTATTGTATGGGAATTTGGATGTGCATCATTAGTCCAAATTGCGCATACGCTACCCCAGTCGTTAATGTTTTCAGGAGGGTGATGGAGGAAAGTCAAATGATGATGACTACTAATTGCAAAACATGATAAATCCCATTGCAGTTTCTTAGAAGAAAAGAAAAGGGCCTGTCAGTTGAAGCTTAGACTTCATAATTTCAGTTGATATCCGTTTGAACCTTCGCCTACCTCCCAAGTTCTTATGAGACTAGCCACATTTCTATTTGAACTTCTAAATCCCGTTAATATTCTACTGGTAGATTTGTGTATGCAGGAAACCAATTTTTATTGAAATTAAAACCTCTTGTAAAATAAGATGCACACCTGTATCAACTTGGTCTTGATACTTGTAGCGGAGGGGGATTGACATAAGGCGTGGAAGGTCCGAATGATGCTTTGCTGTACATTGGGCCCCATCACGCTAATCAAAGAGAAAAGCTTGATAATATCTTCATCTGATTCCAAAATGAAATGGGTGTCTGGTTGGATTCTTGAGACGCCATTGAAATGGAGAGTTGCATAATTGTGGCTGCTATGTATTCACGCAAACTTGACAATGACGAACTAAGATTGAAAAGAAGGTCAAGTAATGGGCGTTCAGCACCTTCTCGAATCATCTGTATACCATTTTTAGGCAAGCTTGAGAGGTTTCTAAGAGCTCTAACAGCCACCATTTTAATTGGAATGTCACCATGTGCGACCATGTAAAGAAGCGGACCCATTACTCCTCCTTGAACCAAAGATTCTTTATTGTGGTCGGTCAATTCCATCTCCGCCAAATTTGATGCCATAATCATTTTTACATCTTCCGGTCCTGAATGAAGAAACGACAAACTTTATAGCAAAAATAACGTTATTTACTCATATGATGAACCCTTAAGACACATAAATGTAGCAAACACATAAATTGAAAATCATTGCATACCTATACAATAGTTTAAGCTTTCATAAACTATATCTTATCATAATCATATCCAAGTATGCACAAATATAAACTAATGGAATTCAATTCGATACGCTGAAAATTTAAATCGCTGAAGAATAAATTGTACCGATAAAATTTAGGGAGTTTTAACGAAACACTCCCGATACTGTTCACTTTTAACGAAAAACCACATTTTTACCTTTTCCTGGTACAATTCATTACACCTTTATTTGTCCTTTTTCATTAAAACTAAAGTTGTTTTGAACTTTTCGTTGGTTTTCCTTAAAATTTAAGATTGATAAACTTTTGACTACAAACAATATAAAAAATCAGAAGGAACCGTTACATATATTACTAAAGGTTGCAAAAAATAAAAATTGAAAATTGAACCCCACACTTGTAGGTTTATTTTACAAAAGGTTGCAACTTTAGCTTAAAAATTATCTATTTTGGTATTTTACTGTTTTACAATCTGTATGAGCATAAAACCAGAAAACAAAAGAAAAGATCCTGTATGAGGCATTTATGAGAAATCAAGACGAAAGAATATAAGAGAACCTGTAGTGAGACGCTGCAGCAAATGTTTAAAATAGTTTGCCTTCGCCATCTGTACAACATTCTCATTAGAGAATGACAGATTCTCCAGTAGCTCTCGTGCATCTCTGGCAGCCCAATTATCGTCACTGTTGGACATGGTAACTAATAAGAGTATACAACCTTGAACCTTCCCAATACATTCTCTTATCAAATTATTTTTTGATAACTCCAAAAGTAGTGCAACTGCTAACTTCCTTTCCTCAACACGGCGCCCAAGTGAACGAACAATAGATTCAATACCGTTATCAACTTTGGCGATTCTTTCCTGCAATATTAATTATAAGGTTTTAGCCATACAGGAAGGATTTAAGAAAATATAACACAAGAAAATCAAATGTATAAGAAAATGAAGTGCATTATTGTTCATCAAAAGAATATCACAGCAGAGAAGTTGAATGAGAATCATCACTATCCTTCACCAAAATGCAAAGGATATCACAACAGTAAACAAAGTATTACCTTCGCATCATCCCTATCCTTCACCAAAATGCAAAGGATGACAAGAGCATTGTTCCTTATCTCGGGATTTTTAACACCAAGAAGTTGAATGAGAATCGGTATGTAGTTCTCTAGTATGACCCATTCCTTATGCAATTCTCTTTGTTTACAGAGATCTAGTAAATCACCCAGGCAATGAAGCACTTCTTCTTCTTCTTCTTCAGATTGGAGTTTTGATTTCAAGGAACCAATCGTAATAATCGAATTTCTGTCCTTCCATTCTTCTATGGATTGCCGAAGAGTTTTATTGGGCCGCAAAATTGATGTGTCCAAAGAAGTCATGGTCAGGGGGCACAATTTGTTCCCATCAGCAAACCACTTTTCTATAGCACTTCTCTCAAATGTCTGTCCAGAAGAAGTTTCCACAGGGTCCACCATAACGTCCCTGGTGATTGGACAATAAAATGACTGAAGCGGTTCCAATAGTTGAAACCCCAACGATTTCCGCTTCATCATATATTTCATTTCTTTCTCCTTAGAAGATGAAGTTGCATCAGCTCTTTCTAATAAAGCAATTATTTGCTCCATTTGTATAGCTTCAGCCTGGTCTTTCCTCAGCCGAGCATTTTCTATCTCACTCCTGAAGTCTTCTAATTCCTTCTTTAACACTGACCTCTCAGTTGAGATTCCGATTGCCTGTGCTATAAGAACCAGCAAATTATTTGCATAAGAACGATCAACGTTTCTCTCCTGTATTCCAGACTCGATCTTGTTCAAAATCTCTTCTTCTGCTATTGCTGCCCTGAACTCAGCTCGCTGCATATTATCACAAAGCTTTTCAATTTCTTCAACTATGCCAGATGAAAGATCTAGAGAAGTCAGGGGAAGAAGACCTAAAGCCCGACTGATCTCTTTCATAGTATCTTCTAGGCGCTTAACTATTGTTCGGCAATGGATTAAGAGATACACTTTGTTTCTCTTCCTGCACTCAAGGGTCAGTTGCTTTGCGGCTCTGATTTCTCGGTTAAGAATCACCATAACATTGTTTAAGCTCTCAGAATGAAGAATAGATTTCTTGTTCAACTCCCTTAAGATGGGGACTATCCTTTCCACATAAGTTGAAACCTCTTTAAATGTATCCTTCTTAACAAGGACATCCCCAGCAGCAGCTGCAATTTCAAAAATGGCCTCTACTGTTTGAGAAATTATTTCTGAAGCCGGAGCAGACGCAACACTGGAAACCAAGTCTACTGCGAACATTTTGATTCTCACCAACACTAGGAAGTGAGATCCTCATTTACCATTTGACTACTCAACTGATAAAAACAGCAGTTGCCCTGTTGCAGGACAACAACCTCAAGCTTCTGATCTCTATATGCCTGCTTTCAGCTTCAATCTGAAATATCACAGTATTTTCTGTTTTGGTCATGCTAGTAAATTGATTATATTTGGAATGTATTTACCCTATATACATGGACCAACTTCTTATTCAGAGCACCGGGCAGAAATGAAAATCACACAATTATAAACTGGTTATAAATTCTCCATTTGGTTGCTGAGAATTAAGTCTTTTATTCTTTAATTCGAATGTCATGAATCTACTCACTAGTCTTCCATTACCCATTTTCCAGATATCAAAACAACATGCAGTAAGTAAACCCTTCATTTTCCTCTGCAATGGAAAGGAAGGTGGTTTTGGTTTGTTTATCACAAATTAAATGACTGAAAGCTCATCCATAAATTTGTAATCCCATAACTGTGTCAAAAGTTCCCTTCTTTCATTAACAAAAAAATGAAACTTTTGTAAGTTCACTAAAACTAATTATTCTTTCCTGCTTTCTCCTCTACGCAGAGAAAAAAATATACTTCCATTTTCCGGTCAGAGAGCTTTTTTTTTAACAAACAATATTATCTACAGTATGGGGTGGGGAGTGGATTAAGTCTCACAATGGGCTAGCAATAATGTGATTCAAATCACCTTTGACGAGAATCAAACCTACAACCTCTTACTTATAAGTGAAGGAGAATACCACTAGCAATAATAGGGCCTTCCTCTTCAACCCGCTGCACTCCGGCTTCAAACCCTCCCCCTTCGCCTTCCCTTAGTGTATTTTAGAGCAATAATATCGTTTGTAATAAAAAAACCTGCTTCATGAAAACCCAAAGCAACCAAAATCATGCACTTGAAAGTTGAAACAAAGAAGATTCTAGTCCTAAAACAAGGATCTGAAATCATCAATATTGCTTCATTTTCCAAAGATCTGAAATCATCAATAATGCTTCATTTTCCAGCTCCTTTCCACAATTTTGGGCTCAAATTGCAATTCATTAGGACCCCATTAAACATCAAACAGGTAAATAACCCAGAATCCAAAAACCCAGTTCATGGCCAACACAAAAGTCTTCGCTAAATGAATAAGAGAAAGTTCAGGAGACATACCTGACAAAGAGTTCATGCCCAGCCCACCAAAACTCACAGCACCATCACTCTTCTCACCACAATTTTCTAGGAAAATGCACCCAATTTTCCCGGGAAAATTAGCAATCAGTCCACCACAGAACCCTTTCAGAAATAGAAAAAATAAATTTCAAAAGTAGGACTAAATGGAATTTCCTTTCTACTTTTTCTCTTCTTTTTTTCTCCTGGGTAATCAATTTGGAAAGTTGTAACCTGAAAAATTTTGTCTTTGAGTTTGTAGGGAGGATGAAGACTCCTCTCCCAAGTCCCAAGTCTTGACCCTTTCTTTGAAGGGCCTGACAACAAAAAGACCTCTTCTTTGAAGACTTAATTTCTGCAAAAGGTAAATTTTTACAGGAGTGAAACAGAAAATGGGAGGAAGAGAACCTTCTTTCCTTTCCGGGTCTTTGCTTTAATCCTTGTGGAGCTTTCAACTCAGCAAGGCAGCTGCAGCTCCGTTGACTCCAATGCATCAAAACTCTGGATGCAAAGAAACAACAAATATTATATATTATCGAATTTAAAGTTAAACAAGGGTTAACATGGGTGTGACTTTATTGCTGTGATGTAATATTCACACATCTCATTTTACTTTTTACATATCTTTTTCATTTTTGATTGTTGAATCGGATGAATTAAAGAAGATTAACGGACATAAATTATGAAGAGGTGTGTGAGAAGTAAAATGAGGTGTATCGATAGTACGCCTCTTTATTATTACGTAACACTTAGTGTTGCGAGTATTTTAATTTAATTTTTACCATTATTAGATTTTTTTTATTTTTAATTTTAGCCCCTTTTTTTTTTTCAAATGAATTGATAAAAGGATAATGTTATCCACATACTCATTTTTACTTCTAGGTTTTGATTTTCTTCAATTCATTCTATCCAACGGTTGAAAATGAAAAAAATGTGTGAGAAATAAAATTAAGTGTGTGGATAGCACATCCCTTGATAAAATTGTGAGTGTTGTGCTCTTGTATGGTTAATGTGAGTCGCATTTACACTATATTAGCAACAAACAAAAAGGCATCAAATTAATTGAGCATTACACTTTCAAACCTCAAGCAGACAGAAAATATAAATTTATACAATTAAAATATCAAAGTGTAACGTGAAAAAATTAAGGGAAGTTAGCTACGATTTACATATTTTGGCATTTGATTTTTTGTAACGATGACATGTTGATAATGTATCACTGATACAACAATGATATGATAACAACATAATTGTATAATGACACCATAATAAGCACTTATTATTTTTTTTCAAATAATGTTGAAATATATTACTGTAACTAATTGCCCAAAATTTTAAAATGTTAGTTCGTTACTAAACAATAAAAAAACAAAGGTAGAAAAATAGAAGCTCATCGAAGCCTTAGGATCAAATTTTAAAATGTAATTACTCTATATGTATTGCCAAGTTGCCATGAGAGCCATCAACCATCCGTCTTTGAAAAGTATTAAGTTCTTAAACACGTATTGGTAGCGGGGGTCCACTGCTGCCTCACTGGTCAACCACGTTTTTCTTCTTCCACACAAAAAACAGAAATTTGATCTCCATGATTGCATATTATACACATTGAGATATTTGCTAATTTTTGTAATTTTCTTTTAAATTTGTATGAAGCTGCTAGAACTTTAATTTTAGTTGATTACTCTTGAACTTTTATCAGTAGATAATTTTCCTCTTAAATTTTAATTTTAACCAATTATCCCCTAATCTTTTATAATTAGTCAATTTCTCATTGAACTTTGATTTTAGCCAGTTACGTGCTTGAATGTTTATAATTGGTTGATTGAATTTGGATCATGACCTGAAATTGGTGAATTGAGACGGTCATGTAAATTAAGTCACAAGGTCAGCAAGATCATGAAGAAGATTCACAGTTGTCCACATTAGGAATAAAATCTAAACAAAAAGTTTAGAGAGTGAGATAGAGGAAGAGAAGAAGAAGAAGAAAAACAATATGTTGTCTTTATTAGGGATAAAATTTCCTATTTTCTCTCACACAATTTTACATGTGGCGTGCACATGACCAAGATGAATGAAAATTTGGATGAAAATTTTCTAATCTAACACCAAGGAAAATTGGCCAGTTATAAAAGTTTAAGAGGTAATTGGTTAAAATTAAAGTTCAAGGGGAAAATTGACAGCTCCTTACAAGTTCCTGGGAGAAATCGCCAAATAAAATTTTTCATATTTGTGGGGTTACTTAACAATGTTTAAGTTTTGTTTAAACTAATAAGAATTTATTGAGCAATCATCACAAACCTACATAGAACATACATGCCGGAGGTAATGTCACACATGCCAAAAAAACATCACATTTACAATTTCATAATGAGTATAATACAATTTCTCAACAACCACTCAGACTCACATCAAACCAACAAAAAAATAACAACCTTGCAAGTCGTAGAACCACCATAACGGCTTCATGAGGAAAAGACCACACCATACTGATATTTTTGCCACTGTCAGCAAAAAAAAAAATACACTACTATGAGTCACCTTCAACGAACGATGAGCTTCCTCCTCTGCTTTGTCGTGGCACAAACCAAAAGAAAAACAAAAATTAAACATTAGCTCTAAACAATAGATGCCATAAAAGTTCTCATTGATAAAGCTAGAAAGCGACTACAACTATGAAAATTATTCTCGCTACAATGAAAGAGTGCCAACAACAACATAAAAAATAAAAAAACACATAAGGGAAAAAGGGAAGAAATCTAGAGAGATTATTGCCCCCGATCAACGGTTGGGGTCGCAGCTAAGGGTGTTTTTCTTTCTATTTTCTCTCCAGATTGGGGCTAACAACGTTTTAATTGATAAAGAGCTAATAATGTCTTTAATGACAATTCTGTAAATTGGTAATCCTAAAAGCACTTATGTTGGTATTGGCTATGAAAAAGGTGAAAGATAATATTTATTCTTATCTGAAAGCATCCTTCCTTCTCAATGCCCCGATATCTATGCAATGTATTTTCGATCTTGTACCCACAAAGCGGTACACTGATCCAAAAAAGTATGCTTAGGCAGTTCCTTCACTAAACACAGCAATAACTTCCCCTTTCCCGAACACAGCTTACAACTTTTATCGTACTTTGCTCTCTAAAGAGAAACTCTTTTCAAAATCCAAATTCTCTAAAAATGAGAACCGCAAATATGCCTTATAGATAAAATAAAGCCCGAATTTACTCCGTTGTTCAACAATGTTATGCACTAAAGTTGAACCAAACACAAGAAGATGCACACCTGTATCAACTTGGTCTTGATACTTGTAGCGGAGGGGGATTGACATAAGGCGTGGAAGGTCCGAATGATGCTTTGCTGTACATTGGGCCCCATCACGCTAATCAAAGAGAAAAGCTTGATAATATCTTCATCTGATTCCAAAAATGAAATGGGTGTCTGGTTGGATTCTTGAGACGCCATTGAAATGGAGAGTTGCATAATTGTGGCTGCTATGTATTCACGCACACTTGACAATGACGAACTAAGATTGAAAAGAAGGTCAAGTAATGGGCGTTCAGCACCTTCTCGAATCATCTGTATACCATTTTTAGGCAAGCTTGAGAGGTTTCTAAGAGCTCTAACAGCCGCCATTTTAATTGGAATGTCACCATGTGCGACCATGAAAAGAAGCGGACCCATTACTCCTCCTTGAACCAAAGATTCTTTATTGTGGTCGGTCAATTCCATCTCCGCCAAATTTGATGCCATAATCATTTTTACATCTTCCGGTCCTGAATGAAGAAACGACAAACTTTATAGCAAAAATAACGTTATTTACTCATATGATGAACCCTTAAGACACATAAATGTAGCAAACACATAAATTGAAAATCATTGCATACCTATACAATAGTTTAAGCTTTCATAAACTATATCTTATCATAATCATATCCAAGTATGCACAAATATAAACTAATGGAATTCAATTCGATACGCTGAAAATTTAAATCGCTGAAGAATAAATTGTACCGATAAAATTTAGGGAGTTTTAACGAAACACTCCCGATACTGTTCACTTTTAACGAAAAACCACATTTTTACCTTTTCCTGGTACAATTCATTACACCTTTATTTGTCCTTTTTCATTAAAACTAAAGTTGTTTTGAACTTTTTGTAGGTTTTCCTTAAATTTAAGATTGATAAACTTTTGACTACAAACAATATAAAAAATCAGAAGGAACCGTTACATATATTACTAAAGGTTGCAAAAAATAAAAATTGAAAATTGAACCCCACACTTGTAGGTTTATTTTACAAAAGGTTGCAACTTTAGCTTAAAAATTATCTATTTTGGTATTTTACTGTTTTACAATCTGTATGAGCATAAAACCAGAAAACAAAAGAAAAGATCCTGTATGAGGCATTTATGAGAAATCAAGACGAAAGAATATAAGAGAACCTGTAGTGAGACGCTGCAGCAAATGTTTAAAATAGTTTGCCTTCGCCATCTGTACAACATTCTCATTAGAGAATGACAGATTCTCCAGTAGCTCTCGTGCATCTCTGGCAGCCCAATTATCGTCACTGTTGGACATGGTAACTAATAAGAGTATGCAACCTTGAACCTTCCCAATACATTCTCTTATCAAATTATTTTTTGATAACTCCAAAAGTAATGCAACTGCTAACTTCCTTTCCTCAACACGGCGCCCAAGTGAACGAACAATAGATTCAATACCGTTATCAACTTTGGCGATTCTTTCCTGCAATATTAATTATAAGGTTTTAGCCATACAGGAAGGATTTAAGAAAATATAACACAAGAAAATCAAATGTATAAGAAAATGAAGTGCATTATTGTTCATCAAAAGAATATCACAGCAGAGAAGTTGAATGAGAATCATCACTATCCTTCGCCAAAATGCAAAGGATATCACAACAGTAAACAAAGTATTACCTTCGCATCATCCCTATCCTTCACCAAAATGCAAAGGATGACAAGAGCATTGTTCCTTATCTCGGGATTTTTAACACCAAGAAGTTGAATGAGAATCGGTATGTAGTTCTCTAGTATGACCCATTCCTTATGCAATTCTCTTTGTTTACAGAGATCTAGTAAATCACCCAGGCAATGAAGCACTTCTTCTTCTTCTTCTTCAGATTGGAGTTTTGATTTCAAGGAACCAATCGTAATAATCGAATTTCTGTCCTTCCATTCTTCTATGGATTGCCGAAGAGTTTTATTGGGCCGCAAAATTGATGTGTCCAAAGAAGTCATGGTCAGGGGGCACAATTTGTTCCCATCAGCAAACCACTTTTCTATAGCACTTCTCTCAAATGTCTGTCCAGAAGAAGTTTCCACAGGGTCCACCATAACGTCCCTGGTGATTGGACAATAAAATGACTGAAGCGGTTCCAATAGTTGAAACCCCAAAGATTTCCGCTTCATCATATATTTCATTTCTTTCTCCTTAGAAGATGAAGTTGCATCAGCTCTTTCTAATAAAGCAATTATTTGCTCCATTTGTATAGCTTCAGCCTGGTCTTTCCTCAGCCGAGCATTTTCTATCTCACTCCTGAAGTCTTCTAATTCCTTCTTTAACACTGACCTCTCAGTTGAGATTCCGATTGCCTCTGCTATAAGAACCAGCAAATTATTTGCATAAGAACGATCAACGTTTCTCTCCTGGATTCCAGACTCGATCTTGTTCAAAATCTCTTCTTCTGCTATTGCTGCCCTGAACTCAGCTCGCTGCATATTATCACAAAGCTTTTCAATTTCTTCAACTATGCCAGATGAAAGATCTAGAGAAGTCAGGGGAAGAAGACCTAAAGCCCGACTGATCTCTTTCATAGTATCTTCTAGGCGCTTAACTATTGTTCGGCAATGGATTAAGAGATACACTTTGTTTCTCTTCCTGCACTCAAGGGTCAGTTGCTTTGCGGCTCTGATTTCTCGGTTAAGAATCACCATAACATTGTTTAAGCTCTCAGAATGAAGAATAGATTTCTTGTTCAACTCCCTTAAGATGGGGACTATCCTTTCCACATAAGTTGAAACCTCTTTAAATGTATCCTTCTTAACAAGGACATCCCCAGCAGCAGCTGCAATTTCAAAAATGGCCTCTACTGTTTGAGAAATTATTTCTGAAGCCGGAGCAGACGCAACACTGGAAACCAAGTCTACTGCGAACATTTTGATTCTCACCAACACTAGGAAGTGAGATCCTCATTTACCATTTGACTACTCAACTGATAAAAACAGCAGTTGCCCTGTTGCAGGACAACAACCTCAAGCTTCTGATCTCTATATGCCTGCTTTCAGCTTCAATCTGAAATATCACAGTATTTTCTGTTTTGGTCATGCTAGTAAATTGATTATATTTGGAATGTATTTACCCTATATACATGGACCAACTTCTTATTCAGAGCACCGGGCAGAAATGAAAATCACACAATTATAAACTGGTTATAAATTCTCCATTTGGTTGCTGAGAATTAAGTCTTTTATTCTTTAATTCGAATGTCATGAATCTACTCACTAGTCTTCCATTACCCATTTTCCAGATATCAAAACAACATGCAGTAAGTAAACCCTTCATTTTCCTCCGCAATGGAAAGGAAGGTGGTTTTGGTTTGTTTATCACAAATTAAATGACTGAAAGCTCATCCATAAATTTGTAATCCCATAACTGTGTCAAAAGTTCCCTTCTTTCATTAACAAAAAAATGAAACTTTTGTAAGTTCACTAAAACTAATTATTCTTTCCAGCTTTCTCCTCTACGCAGAGAAAAAAATATACTTCCATTTTCCGGTCAGAGAGCTTTTTTTTTAACAAACAATATTATCTACAGTATGGGGTGGGGAGTGGATTAAGTCTCACAATGGGCTAGCAATAATGTGATTCAAATCATCTTTGACGAGAATCAAACCTACAACCTCTTACTTACAAGTGAAGGAGAATACCACTAGCAATAATAGGGCCTTCCTCTTCAACCCGCTGCACTCCGGCTTCAAACCCTCCCCCTTCGCCTTCCCTTAGTGTATTTTAGAGCAATAATATCGTTTGTAATAAAAAAACCTGCTTCATGAAAACCCAAAGCAACCAAAATCATGCACTTGAAAGTTGAAACAAAGAAGATTCTAGTCCTAAAACAAGGATCTGAAATCATCAATATTGCTTCATTTTCCAAAGATCTGAAATCATCAATAATGCTTCATTTTCCAGCTCCTTTCCACAATTTTGGGCTCAAATTGCAATTCATTAGGACCCCATTAAACATCAAACAGGTAAATAACCCAGAATCCAAAAACCCAGTTCATGGCCAACACAAAAGTCTTCGCTAAATGAATAAGAGAAAGTTCAGGAGACATACCTGACAAAGAGTTCATGCCCAGCCCACCAAAACTCACAGCACCATCACTCTTCTCACCACAATTTTCTACGAAAATCCACCCAATTTTCCCGGGAAAATTAGCAATCAGTCTACCACAGAACCCTTTCAGAAATAGAAAAAATAAATTTCAAAAGTAGGACTAAAAGGAATTTCCTTTCTACTTTTTCTCTTCTTTTTGTCTCCTGGGTAATCAATTTGGAAAGTTGTAACCTGAAAAATTTTGTCTTTGAGTTTGTAGGGAGGATGAAGACTCCTCTCCCAAGTCCCAAGTCTTGACCCTTTCTTTGAAGGGCCTGACAACAAAAAGACCTCTTCTTTGAAGACTTAATTTCTGCAAAAGGTAAATTTTTACAGGAGTGAAACAGAAAATGGGAGGAAGAGAACCTTCTTTCCTTTCCGGGTCTTTGCTTTAATCCTTGTGGAGCTTTCAACTCAGCAAGGCAGCTGCAGCTCCGTTGACTCAAATGCATCAAAACTCTGGATGCAAAGAAACAACAAATATTATATATTATCGAATTTAAAGTTAAACAAGGGTTAACATGGGTGTGACTTTATTGCTGTGATGTGATATTCACACATCTCATTTTACTTTTTATATATCTTTTTCATTTTTGATCATTGAATCGGATGAATTAAAGAAGATTAACGGACATAAATTATGAAGAGGTGTGTGAGAAGTAAAATGAGGTGTATCGATAGTACGCCTCTTTATTATTACGTAACACTTAGTGTTGCGAGTATTTTAATTTAATTTTTACCATTATTAGATTTTTTTTATTTTTAATTTTAGCCCCTTTTTTTTTTTCAAATGAATTGATAAAAGGATAATGTTATCCACATACTCATTTTTACTTCTAGGTTTTGATTTTCTTCAATTCATTCTATCCAACGGTTGAAAATGAAAAAAATGTGTGAGAAGTAAAATTAAGTGTGTGGATAGCACATCCCTTGATAAAATTGTGAGTGTTGTGCTCTTGTATGGTTAATGTGAGTCGCATTTACACTATATTAGCAACAAACAAAAAGGCATCAAATTAATTGAGCATTACACTTTCAAACCTCAAGCAGACAGAAAATATAAATTTATACAATTAAAATTTCAAAGTGTAACGTGAAAAAATTAAGGGAAGTTAGCTACGATTTACATATTTTGGCATTTGATTTTTTGTAACGATGACATGTTGATAATGTATCACTGATACAACAATGATATGATAACAACATAATTGTATAATGACACCATAATAAGCACTTATTATTTTTTTTCAAATAATGTTGAAATATATTACTGTAACTAATTGCCCAAAATTTTAAAATGTTAGTTTGTCACTAAACAATTAAAAAACAAAGGTAGAAAAATAGAAGCTCATCGAAGCCTTAGGATCAAATTTTAAAATGTAATTACTCTATGGGGGCGTTTGTTTGCCCTCACTAAGTTGGACTGGACTGGACTGGACTAGCTATTAGTCCAATACTATGTTTGTTCCATGCTGGTACTAACATTAATGAGACTAAAGGGGACTAGCATGGACAAAACCCTTCACTAAGGGGTCTTAGCGAGACCCCCCAATAACCATGGGACTAGCTAAGACTATCCTCTTTTTCTCGTCCTCGTCATGCTCAACAACCACTCCCAACAGAATCTTCGTCATCTCCGGTCACCTAGATCAATCATTAACTTTCCGACTCTTTTTCAGATCCAGATTGGGGTGTTTTTCTTTCTATTTTCTCTCCAGATTGGGGCTAACAACGTTTTAATTGATAAAGAGCTAATAATGTCTTTAATGACAATTCTGTAAATTGGTAATCCTAAAAGCACTTATGTTGGTATTGGCTATGAAAAAGGTGAAAGATAATATTTATTCTTATCTGAAAGCATCCTTCCTTCTCAATGCCCCGATATCTATGCAATGTATTTTCGATCTTGTACCCACAAAGCGGTACACTGATCCAAAAAAGTATGCTTAGGCAGTTCCTTCACTAAACACAGCAATAACTTCCCCTTTCCCGAACACAGCTTACAACTTTTATCGTACTTTGCTCTCTAAAGAGAAACTCTTTTCAAAATCCAAATTCTCTAAAAATGAGAACCGCAAATATGCCTTATAGATAAAATAAAGCCCGAATTTACTCCGTTGTTCAACAATGTTATGCACTAAAGTTGAACCAAACACAAGAAGAGATAGACAAGGTACTCGAGGTTTCTAGAAACTAAAATTGCAGAATTTGGTTTCTAGAGTTATTTTGGCATTTGGAAATAAATGGAGAATGTACAGAACAAATTCAAGTGATTATTTCCTACAAAAGAAGTCCCCATATAGAGGATTAAGTGTCTTTTCTGAACTAATATAGAAAACATTCAAAACCATGTATCACTTGGTTTATGAGGGACCACTTCATATGAAACATGTCTCTTCAATCTGAGTTGAATTCAAACATCTATAACATGTTTTTGAAGTTCCTTAAGACTTAGAAAAAGGTACCATTCTCTTCATCTTGTCAAGAAGTATTATTTTCATTTTTGAATCACTCAATTTGGTTGAGTATTGAAGAAGTTCTGAACGTTTAAAGTTTACCCAGTTTCTGGCTAGTGTTCCAGTTTTCCCGCGGACCAGTCACCTTTCAAGCTATTTTTCGGCCATCTCCAGCAACCATTGGGCTTCCAAATAGGTATAATCTTATTCTACACTTTCCTATCTTCATTTTGATATATCATGGGTCGAATATAGTTAAGAAACGATTGAGTTACAAAACTTTGAAAATTGCCAAAAATCGTTTTTAACGGAAATACCAAAATCATGGATGGTGGACAATCTCAGAAACCATTTCTATTGATCATGCAAATCTTAGGGACCATTTGTATAATAACCCTCCCATTTAATTAAGAAAGTTCATTTGTAGGCTCTATTCATTTAGTTTGATTAATCTAGCTTTTCACTTTTTTTCATTAAAAATCAAGTTGGGTAGGTAGCAAATCAAATGTTATCAATTGCTGCAATTAATAGTTTATTTTTGGTCTTGAAAATCTAAGAGCTTTTTTTTTTTTTGGGTTTTTATCACAAATGGTCTTTGAAATTGACCCTCACCATTAAGGTCCCTAAAATTGAAAATCAATCAATGTAATCCCTGAAAATAGGTGTCGCAAATCAATGTGGTCATTCCGTCACAATTTTGTTAAAAATTCCGTTAAGTGCTGATGCAGCACATAAATGAGTCACATAAATCCTTTATTCTCACAAATAATCCTCGAAATTGACCCGTGACATCAAAATGGTCCCTAAAATTGACTTACGATATCAAAATGGTCTCTGAAATTGAAAATTGATCAATGTAGTCCTGCAACTAAGTGTTCCAAATCAATGTAGCCCTTCTATCACAATTTTGTAAAAAATTATGTTATGTGTTGATTTGACATATAAATAGATCACAAAAGTCTAATTAAATTAAAAATTACAAATAGGTTTAATAATTTAATAGTTAATAAAAAGTTGTGAACCCAAAAACTCATTCCTGCAATCATCTCCGATCCCAGTCCACATTCCTCTACCTCCTTCGCTGTCTATTCTCTAAAAAAAAATCTCTATACTCCCATCCTTACACCCTTCAACACCCTTCACCAAATTGAACCTGGATCGAGATCACCTTAGGTGACGTCTTGGCTGATTGGCAACGACTTTTGGGACATCACTGTTAACATTTAGGTGATCAACATCCACACAACCTTAATCTTGGAGATCTTATTTGGTGCTTTCCTGGTGGTCTGCTAACTCAAAGAACTCGAGGTCCGCCGTGGGATAATGAGGTTGTAACCGAGGTGCGTCTATTGTTGGTTGAAAAATATTTTCAAACCCTCTCTTAGACCTTGGCTAAGCCTTGTACCTTTGAGAATTTATGAAAGGGAATTCTATTTGGAGTAGGTCCTACTATGAGAAAAAAAAAATCTATTGTGCAAAAAAGTATTTAGACAACTTTTTTTAATTAATTATTAAACCCACATCTGCACATAACAAAAAAATTAACAGAATTGTGGAGGAAGAATCATATTGATTTGCGACACCTATTTTCAAGGACTACATTCATCGGTTTTCAATTTTATGGACCATCTTGATGGTGTGAGACAATTTCAAGGACCATCTTGATGGTGTGAGTCAATTTCAGGGATCATTTATGATAAAAACCCGTAAATCTTGTAAAGCCCATTTATGCGCCATATCAGCACTTAACGGAATTTTTAACAGAATTGTGATGGAATGACCACATTGATTTGTGACACCTATTTTTAAGGACTACATTAAATGATTTTTACTTTCAAGGACCATCTTGATGGTAAGGGTAAATTTTAGGGACCATTTGTAATAAATTAAAAAAAAAAAAGACCTTATATTTTTTATTAGGGTAAATTACAAAAAACTACCTCAACTATTGGGTCATTAACAGCTTCATATCTCGTCTTTAAAAAGTTGCAATGTCATACCGTATCTTTCAAATTTGTTGCAATGTCATACCTTCAATCAGTTGACTGTCAATTCCTTTATTAAATGCTGACGTGGCATGAGGCGGGGTCCCTTTTTTATTAAAAAAATTATTAAAAACATAAAAAAATAATTAAATATTAACTAAATATTAAAAAATTAAAATTAAAATAAATAAATACAATTAAAAAAAACCCAACCCCTGCAACCCAAAAGAAGAAGAAGAAGAAGAAAAAAACAAAACCAAAGCCTAACCCGCAACCTATCCTCCACCTCCTCCGCACACCCATCTTTCTTATCTTCCTCCCCTTCCACCCGAGCCCAACCCGCAACCCAAAAAAAAAAAAAAAACAAAAAAAACCATCTTCTTATTCTTCTAGTTTGTAGGTTGGATGGGGGAGAAGGAGGTTGGGTTAGGGGGGACAAACTGGGTTTTTTTTTTTTTTTTCTTCTTCTTTTTCTTCTTTCTGGGTTGTAGGGGGTTGGGTTTGTTGGGGGGGGGGGACGAACTAGGTTTGGTTTGGGTGGTTGTTTTTCTTTTCTTTTCCTTCTTCTTCTTTTTGGGTTGCAGGGAGTTGGGTTTGTGGGCGCACGGGGGTGGGGGACGAACTGGGTTTGGTTTAGGTTTTCTTTTTTTCTTCTTCTTCTAGGTTGCAGGGGGTTGGTTTTTTTTTTTTTTTTTTTTTTTAGTTTTTAATAAAAAGTGTGCCACGTCAGCATTTAACAGAGGAATTAACAAATAATTGACGTAAGGTATGACATTGCAACAAATTCGAAAGATACGGTATAACATTGAAACTTTTTAAAGACGAGGTATGAAATTGTTAATGACCCAATAGTTAAGATATTTTTTTGTAATTTACCCTTTTTATTAAGAAGAACTTCTAATATATTAAAAAAAGTACAAAGCTTAAAAAGAACCAGGTAAATAACAACAGATAAAGTAAAAGGTCCAAGCAAAACGAGAGCCGCAACCCAAGATACAACAGGAGGCCCACATAAGCTTAGTCTTG